AACATTTTTGTTGATATAATTCGAATCGAAAGTGAAAATCTCAAGAACTCTTGAAGATATAGCCGATTTATTGTGTCAGCTGAAGGGCTTCTCAAACTTTAAACGCGTTTTTCTCTAAACATTTTTTTTTGCGAATGGCGGGCACGATAACTCAAAAACTAATAATCCAATCGGTTCCAAATTTTGCAACGTTTCTCTGGGAGTATATAGCTCTCGTATGAACTAGGATAAAGCCAATCGGTGAAGATCTTCCTTTTTTTTTAACTTGGGTTTTGGTAAAAAATCGGTGATTTTCCAAAAATATTTTTTCAAAGGTCCACCATTTTGTTAATTTTAGAGCGAAGTCAATAATCCTAGTTCATACGAGAGCCAGACATGTACTCTTTCTAACACCGTTGGAATTTTCGGATTCCGATGTTCCATTGAGGAGTTATCATGCCCGCCATCAAAAATAAGGACTTTTCTGTAATTACAAAAAACAACAACAAAACAATAACAAAAATTTTTTGTAAATTATTTTTCTTCTCCTTTAAATCTTCGGCCGGGCCGAACTTTGGATGCCCTCTACCATAGATATACTAACATATACTTGCAACGAAAAAAAAAAAATCCCAAGCGCGGACCTATACCGATAACTCTACAAACCGATTTATGTAAACCATTATGTACACCAAATATAAATTTCAGCAATGTTAATGGGGATTCTCCTAAAATCTGAAAACCCCAAAACGTGGACTGATACTGATAACGCATGGTAGAGTATAAAATCCTCAAACAAGAGCAATTTTGATATCAAAATCATATGAGGTCTTTATCTTCGATTGAAGGCATAGTTTCATGACAATACCTAACATATATGTGTTTTTATCTATTAGATCTATTATTGTTTCCCTAAATACTAGATTTTCAACGTCAACAGCTCTCAGACATACCAAACCTGATGAACCTCCATCGTAGTTCACCATTCTAGGCATGTTAATGGGATCGAGCTCAGAATTGACCTTTTCTACAAACTTGTTCATAGACTTTTTATTTATTCATGGACCTTAAAAGGATTGGAAAAAATGTAATTCCGAAGTCGATCCCCTTAATATGCGTAGAGTAATAAAAAGAAGAAGATATAAAAACTTAGACTCGTTATATAGTTTAATTATACTAGGAACATTTTCCACCCGATGTGACTATGGTACAGCATTACGAAGTGACTGTAATTTGGCATTCCGAGACCTTGGTGGGTTTGCAAATTCTCCCTTAACTTTTTCAACATATGATAATGTTACTATATAGATTCAAACCAAGGTCAAATGGCGTTATTCTTTCTAATTTTCAATGTGAATGTTGATAGTTGGATATTTTGTTCTTCCCTGTTAGCAACTTACCATGACATAGACCCCATAGCGATTTCATGTATTTTTATTGTTCACCTCACCTAACGTGGGGGGCACAAAAAAACTCTGGTCTAATCCAAATCTATTAACACATTAATATTTTTTAAATATATTAGTTTTATTTCACACTTTTTTATCCAAACATAAATAAGAAACAACTATTAAATAACAGTATTTAACAACAAATGGCGCTTAATGATGATATCCATAGGTGGGAGCTTCATAAGATGCATAATGGGTGGGGGTGGCATAGTGGGCAACTGGAGCAACAGTCTTTACTACAGCTGGAGCAGCATAGTGAGCAACTGGAGCTACAGTCTTAACGACAGTTGGAGCAGCATAATGGGCAACTGGAGCAGCGTAGTGAGCCACTGGGGCAACATGTTTTACAACTGTAGCTGGAGCAGCATAGTGAGCAACAGGAGCAACAGTCTTTACAACAGCATGTCCCAAAGGTTCACGTTCAACAACAGCATTGAAACCATTAACATCATCGGCTGTATAGTGGACAGTACGTTTGTAACCATCAGCATCGATCAAGGAGTATTCACCACGGACAACATCACCATCACGTTCTTCGTTTTGGCTCTTCGAGTCACCGGTAACTTTGTCATCAACACCATAGCTGAATTTGTACTGGGGATGAGGATCGAATTCCTCAGATTTCACGACAACCTTCTGGGCTACAGCCACGGGAGCTGTGTGATATGCAACGGGAGCATAACCAGCACTGGCAACAGCGACAAAGGCAAGGGCGAATACAAACTGAAAACAAAAATAAAATTGTATATTAACAAATTAGCTTGTAATGTTGTCAATGTGGGTTAAATGATATTTCATGACAAGCTAGCCGTTAAATTACACTTACCTTAAAGGTCATGTTGTTGTTTTTTAATCTGTGTAAATACTGTTGATGTTCTTTAGAGAGCTAAGCAGTGAATGATACAATTTTGAAATGTTGAACGACTTTTTATACCAAAAATTATATCAAAGCGAAACAATATGATTTTTTAATTAGACAACAACATTTCTGAAATTTAATTAATCAATTTTTGCAGAAATGTGTGTATGTCCATAAAGAATAAAATGTGGGTAAATGGTTTCATATGTATAACATACCAATTCATCAAAGGCAAACATTCTTTGTGTTTTGTGGTGGTGTTGAAATTAACATTTGGTGTGCCAATTGTGAGACAGTAGTGGTGGCAGAAGTTCAGAGGATATTGTCTTCATTGTAAACATTATTTTTTATACTCTACACTACTGTATTGTAAGTTGGAGCGGCTCTAAGAGTTTGTAACGTGATTCTAGACCCACCGTTTAGTATACCGATCGCCATATCTCGACTAGCTGAGTCAATCATGATATGTGTGCTCGTCCGTCTGTCTGTCAATTATAATTTGTAAAAAACAATACAGGCCAGTTATGGACTAATCGTCCTGAGATTTAGGACGTAGGAGGTGTCCTGGCGAAATAATAAAAATAAACTTTATGTTTGTCTGTTTATCTGGTCGCTATAGAGGCCACAATTTTGATCTGAACATCAAGAAATGTTGCACCGAGAAAAAACATGAGGGTCAGTCTGTCCATCTATCTAATGGGTGGTACACATCTCTTAAAGGTAAAAAAGGTTAACAATTTGTAATATTTGTCATTTGACCTACCTTGCCTAACAAATGCCCTCTCTTGTGATTTTGGTCGTATGTGTACAATATTCTGTCGATCGGTCAAACGTAGTACCTTTGGGGAATTCTTTTATTTATAAACCGACTTCAATCAATTCATACAAATGTCATTCGGCAACCTATGCAAAATTCCATGGTATTTTGGCAGATTTATGAACTATGGTATACCGAAATAAAAATACATGGTAACTATTCCCAAATTTGAATCGATATGAACAAAACTTAACACGCGGAGTGCTTTGTGGACCGTTTATATAAATTCAGTAAAAAATATATATGGGAACTATATCTAAATCTGAATCGATTTTATCTAAACTTAATACACATTATTATATACTCCATCTCGAAATAATTGTCGGTTAAGGTTCCATACTGGGGTTTTAATTTTTTATGATGTATGACACACATCTTAAAAAATTATAGGTCCATGTTGGAATTTTAGTACATTTAAGAGATTTTAGCAAAATTTTCCATCCGTAGGAACTGTAGTTTAGAATGCCGGGTGCTTGGATGCTTACATACATCTGCGTAAAAAATGATTGTTAAATGTCTATGTCTTCGCATAGCCCCAATATGGAGGTCCCGCCCCATTATCAGTATTTTTAAGGTATAAATTGTTATTCAGAATTTTCGGAAGCTTCCATGTTTATACCGTTCACCACACTGTGGTAGAGGGTAGTATGTCTTTGTGCATATGCTTGTAACAGGCAAAACGAATCGAAATAGACCCATGGTTCCTTTTGAGAATATGCATAGAATCACTTCTGAGTCGATTTATTCTTGTCCGTCCATGTATTTTAGTGAACAAAGAACAGGTCGCATTTATGATCCGATTTGAATGGCATTTGCCATAGGCCACATACTTGACCCAAGGACAAACCCAATTTAAATCGGCTGGGCCGAACTTTGGATACCCTCCACCATAGTTATACTGACAGGTACTAGAAATGAAAATATAGGGAACATACAGGTTCTAGATCCCATGTTTCTTTGGACCAAATTGACATTTTCGATATAGCTCCATGTTTGGTCCATTTAAAAGTCCTGCTCCATTTTCGATATTTTTGCAAATATATGCCTGTAAGTTGACTTGCCAGATTCCTATTGAATTGAAATGAAAAATCCTTCCTACAATATTTTCAATATAAGTCCATGTTTTTGACTGTCCCTATTCAAAGATCCCGCTCAATTTTGGTATTTGGAAGATCCCAATCTGAATCTTTCATCTTTCTTTTCGCTTTGTGGGTGATCTTATTAATAGGCCTGGCTCATGCCAAATACGAGAGATCTCTGCCTATTAGCCGCTTTCCATTTTTTTTACATTTTTAAAAAAAATATCGTATTCTTATGAAGCAAGTTTCAAAAAATTCTTTATTACCACACACATACGAAACAAAAATTAAATTCTAACACTAAAACATAACTGATTAATCTTAAATAATTACTATGGTTCTGCACTGACCTACCCTATATGACCTACAAAATATTTTCATAATAAACAATAAAAACAAACAAATCTTAATACAAGTAGCATATTTGCGACAATATTTGCGACACTTATTACTTTCAATATGTATGAACTTGCATAATGCGTGGACAATGACACAAAAACATTCATATCAATAAACATTGTTTTGTCAATAATGCTATGACACATAATAAAATAATAAGAAAAAAAATCTCCCTGTCACTAAATAAGCCAACGAATGAACGGTGAATGCTGTGGCTGGTAAGGCAATTTATGTTTAAATAAGAAATAAAAAAATCAATAAACAAAATAATATCTGTAAATTGAAAATTCCCTCAAATCGATTTTTGCTATAAAAGTTGATTGATTTTGAAAATAAGCTATCATTCATTACTGGTCTTTACCTCTACAAGGAATCGATTTTGTGGAACTTGGCAAATTACCTTTTATTGTAACAACATGGCTTTCAAGGTAAGTGATGATGAGAAGAAATAGTTTTTGTTTACAACTAAAGCATCGCTGTATTCCTGCAGTTTGTTTTCGCTCTTGCCTTCGTTGCTGTGGCCAGTGCTGGCTATGCTCCAGTTGTCTATCATGCCGCTGCACCTGTTGCTGACGCCCAAAAAGTCGTCGTCAAGTCCGAGGAATACGATCCTCATCCTCAGTACAAATTCAGCTATGGTGTTGACGATAAAGTGACCGGTGACTCAAAGAGCCAAACTGAAGAACGTGATGGTGATTTTGTTCGTGGTGAATATTCTCTGATTGATTCGGATGGTTACAAACGTACCGTTCAATATACCGCTGATGCTGTCAATGGTTTCAATGCTGTCGTTCAACGTGAACCTTTGGGACATGCTGTGGTGAAGACTGTTGCCCCAGTTGCTCACTATGCTCCAGCTACTGTTGTTAAGACCCACTATGCTGCCCCCACTGTGGTAAAGACTGTGGCTCCAGTTGCCCATTATGCCGCTCCCGCTGCTGTCGTTAAGACTCATTATGCTGCTCCCACTGTGGCTACCTATGCTGCCCCTAGTCACTACCAATCATACGGTGCACCAGTTTACAATTACCATCATTAAGTCATTGTTTGTTTAACCCAAATCGATTCGCACTTGTAGGGTTTTGTTCAATGTTGTTATATTTATTTATTTTAAATTTGTTTCTTCGTCATGTTGTTAAATAAATAAACATAGTTTTTCCGAATCAATGAGTTAATTATAAATGTGTAAACACGGGGCGTCAAACATATCTTTGATAGCATCAATTGGTAGTGTTATTATTACAAACAATTGCTAAAATCATTACTGATATTCGGATGTATTAAGGCTTATTAGAGGGTGCCCAAATGCTCGGTCTTATAGTCTTTGCACGGTGAATGAGGATGTTAGCATCCCAAGGAGTGATTACCACAGTTTGCTGACATCACACTTGTGCGTCTGATAATTGACGTAATAAGGTATCGTTTTCATTAATACACCACCCGATATAATTACCTCTGAACGCTGCACTTCCCGAACCACTGGAAATTATGTACCTGAATACTGGAAATTATGTAGGGTGCTGCTACTGAAGGATGCCAGATAAAATGCCCCAGATTAAATGTATGGTTTCCAGTTACCCAACATCAATATGGATTCCGCACAGCATTATACGCCCTAAACCCCATAACTACATCCCTAACACCAAGGCCGTGCAATAAAAAAGTATAGGTGTAATATCTAATGACAAGGAGGGACAATTATATTTTTATAGCCTCCACCATAGTATGGAGGGTATGGAGGGTAGTTCGAAATAATCATTTCGACCCTATAAAGTATATATATTCTTGATTAGCGTAAAATTCTATGACGATCTAAGCCTGTCCTTCTGTCTGTTGTAATCACTCTAGCGTCTAAACGAATTGAGATAGAACGCCAAAATTTTGCATAGAGTTCAATGATGGGCTATATCGGTCCACGTTTAGGCATAGCTCCCATATAAGGGTACCCACAAATTTTCAGTATTTCGGGGTTTTTGAGCGCGTTTTTCAACCGAATTCGCTGAAATTTGGTAAAATGGGTTCTTTTTGGATACAAAATTTCTCCACTAAAAATTATAAATATAGGCCCACTTTTTCTGGTAGCCCCCATAGAACGGTATCTCCCAATTTATTTTGGGGGGTTTTGACCGGATTTTTTCATCGAATTGGCTCTCATTTAGTACTTGAGTTCTTATTGGGTATCAAATCTCTCCACAAAAAAATATAAATATAGGTAACCCCACTTTTCGGTATTTTGGGGTTCTTGGGCCCGTTTTTCAACCATATTCGTTGAAATTTGGTACTTTGAGTTCTTATTGCGTAGCAAATCTCTCCACTAAAAATTATAGATATAGGTCAATTTTTTCGGGTAGCCCCCATATAAGGGTACACTTGAACACGGTTTTCAACCGAAATCGTGTAATTTGGTAGTCGTATATGTAACAAATCCCTAGCAAAAATTATTAATATTCACCCCCATTTAGGGGTAGTCCCCATATAACCCCCGTTTTTATTTTTAGAAAGTTAGCTGTTTTTTTGTGTATTGGGGTTATCCCATATAGCTGTATTCCACCATAGTAGGGGGGAAATTGGGTAGACGAAATTTTCAGTTCATACCCCACATAGTGTGGAATTCTAAAACGATTTAGTCGATTTAGCCATATGTTGTAATAATTTTTCTCTCGGAGGATATCGACATAAAAACTAAAACGTGTGGTTGGAGAATGAACTGTATTGACCCGCATTTAGGACCTATATAAAACATCCTACCTATTTAATATTTAGCGTGATGGACGGTATTGGGATTCAAAACTAAAATATTAGCTTGGAACTTGACCTACATCGGCCCTTAATTAGGCCTAACCCCTTATATAATGAAAACACCAAGTAGTTGCTAATTCCTACACAATATAATATTGCCCTCTAAATTGGAGTATTTTCAGGATTTTATACACATGTTTTACCGTACCATGCGTTAATAATATATGTCAACATTTTAGGATTTTGAGATTTTAGGAAAACCCCTATTGAAATTGCTGAATTTTCTATTTGGTTTACAACAATCGATTGGAAGAATTGTCGTTATATGTATGTTCCCTATGTTTTCATTTCAAAAATTTGTCAGTATTTCTATGGTGGAGGGTATCCAAAGTTCGGCCCGGCCGAACTTAACGCTTTTTTACTTGTTCATAATATGATGCGTTTTCCTAGTGTGGGAAACTAACCCGAAGCCTAAACCTATTTTATAGTTCTTATGGGTGAACTCGCGGTACATATCAGCTCACAATTTCAACGGATGATAAAAGCAGCTACCCCAGGTGACACCGGGCGAGATCAGTGTCCACAACTGAGATGAAAGTGGGACCAAGATAAGCCTGGACTTTGTCATCTTTAAGCCGACCATAGGCGTTGCATGAATCTATCATCCCCAACGTCACCCCCTTAAAAAACCACGGAATCCCAAATTGCGATGCGATTGATAGCCTCAAAATACGAAAATTTGCACGGAATTTTTATATGTAAACAAAACTAAAACGTAGTCCGGTATGATTTTTAAGTCAGATTTTCTGTTTCGAGTCGAGGTTAGTGATCGATTTTTTTAATGAAAAGGAACGCATTAACTTACATATTACCTTTTTAAGCCACATGGCACAATATGCCTGATGAGCCGCTTAACCAACGGCTTTCCTTTTCATTGCAAAAACTCCGATCTTTAAGCCCGATTCGAAAGAGAAAAAGTCAATTTAAAAACAAGTATAGCCCTCGTCTACTAGATATTGCTATCATTTGTGGCAAATAGATCGAATCGAAAAAAACAAACAAACAAAAATAAGTGTTCGGTCCACTTCATCCCAAAATTATTATCTGATCATCGACGACCATAACTGGAACCTCATGGAACTTTTCAAAGTAATCCGCGCTATATTTCCGCCCCTTAGTGTGGTATTAAATTATTAAATAATATCTGAATACGTAAACACCTGTAAATATTTAAGTGTAAATCCCACATCCGAGTACATACGACAATATATTTGGCATCAATTTAAAGGCCAACCACTCCTCTTGGATATACTATCAACTTCTCGGCTCAATGTCCTTCAGGGATAAATCTATACGCTTAGAATACAAATTTTGTCATTTTTCACACAAAAGACAGGGTCCATTTGACCCGCTAAATACTAACCGATCTTTATCAAAACAGGCATGCGTATTCTTTGGACCAATCCCCTTCTCCATGTAAAAATTCGAGATGTTTGGGCCATAATTGCGGCCTCTGGAGCGACCAAAAAAACCGACAAAAATTAAGAATTTGGTCCATTTCATCACCTAAATATTAACCGATCTTTACCAAAGACAATAGGGGTCTTCATGCAAAATTTCGTGAAGATTGGTCCATAAATGTGGCCTGTATCGTGTTTACAAATTATAATGGACAGACGGACGGACGGACACACATGTCTAAATTGGCACAGCTAGTCGAGATATGACGATCGGTATACTTAAAGGTGGGTCTAGGACCAATATTTCGCGGCGTTACAAACTCTTAGGGCTGCACAAAGCTATAATACCCTGACAACATAGTTGTGTAGGGTATAAATATTGTATGATTCTAATTTTTAGCTATTCTTATCAAAATAATGGATAAACTTACAATAAAACTTTGAATTTTTTTCTGCATTTTATTCCACTGCGAGCGTGGGTTCTTTCAAAAGTATTTAAATTTATTACGCCTATATTAATTCTTGAAAATAGAAATTCTATTCAAAGTAATCCACATCTAAACTGGCGCCCAAATAATAAATATACGCCTATGCTGGCGATTCATTCAAACCGAAATTCTATTTGTTATTAAAAATCGAAAATAGTAAATAAAATAATTTGAAGTATTTCAACCCATTAATGAATTAATTCAAATGCCTTGAAGGCTAACCAAAAAACACAATTATTTAGTGCAGATTGGGTATTTTCAAAATGATTTATTTCTTTTTTTCCGCAATGAAATTAGTTAATGATTTAATTAATAGCAAAATGTAAAGCAATGGAATTCCCTCAAATAAACTCAAAATATTTCTGGGTGATTAGTTTGTGGGGAATTTAAATTCCAACATAACAAAGAATGACCTTTTTTGGGGAGCAATACAAAAAAGTAATTACAAAAAAAAAAAAAAAAAAAAAAAAAAAAAAAAACAACAAAAATATTTCGTAAACATTCCAAGAACCCAAATGTTTAATATCGCAGAAATGAATTAACTACATTGTTATACATATGTGGATACATACATGTTTCTTGTGTCAAACATGTTTACACCCTGCTAATCGTGTTCGTCATGAAATGGTGCTTTAAAAACGGAACTAGTAAATAGCTTAATTATTGTTATTATTATTTTATTGTTCGTGTTTTTTTAACATCGTTTATTTTTGTTATGCGCTCATACGTCACTATATTTGAAGTATTCAATCCATTGAAATCAATCAGATTCCTGAACTGAAAAAAGAAACTCTCATAATTGATCGTCACACCTTTCGTCATATCCGATGAAAATGGAGATATTAATATTTTCAAATTAAACGTCAAACAAACAAAAAAACGCACTCACAAAAACTATATCATTCTTGTTTTTTCTTTCTTTCGATGTGGCTGATTGACATCTGACGGTTTTGTGTAGGTCTTACATATTTGCTATTACCAATTCGATACCTATTCTCCAGCATGACATTCATTTTAACGTTCTGATCATGTCAGTGCTGGATACCGTATTAAAACCACTATTATTTATGTTTTGTTTTATAATGGACCCACAATTCCGCAAATGATCATTACTTATTATGATTCGACAACTTTGAATGAACCAGAATTAGAGATTGTGAACCAATCAAAGAATCAAGAATAAGAATCAAAACAAAATTTGTAATATGGTGAATAAAAATAGAAACGATTGATATGATAAGATTCGGATAATGTTTGAATTAAATGCAACGGTTACGTAAATATGGACAAATTTTATTCTGTTGGGAAAAAATAATAGAGCAACCCAAAGGCGTGGGGGTGGCGTACCAAGCAACGGCTCTGATTGGCTTTAACATGGCGAAGTCAAGGCTTAACTTCCCTGCGGTGCCACCTGGGAGCTATTTTCATCACCCGATGAAATAGTGAGTTAATATGAGCCGCGAGTTCACCCATAAGAACTATAAAAAATGGGTTGAGGCGTCGGGTTAGTTGCCCACTCTCGGAAAACCCACCTTACTATGAAAATGCAAAGAAAAAGAAAACCAAACCCCCCCAAATGTTGACGACCACCGCAAACGTATAAAGGACCACGATCTGCGAATCTGCACTTGGAATGTGCGCATGTTGTACAGAACAGGTGCAGTGTTCGCTTTGGCGGATGTACTCAAGAAGTACAAAGCCGATACTATTGCCTTACAGGAAATGCGATGGGAAGGGACTGGCGTAAGTAAATCAGATGATTACGTCCTTTATTATAGCTGCCATGAAACGAGACATGAATTTGGCTGCGGATTTATGGTTTACAGGAGAATAAAAGAGCGAATTGCTATAATCCGTATAAAAGCGAAGTTCTTCTACAGCAGTCTCATTTGCGCCCATGATCCGACCGAGCGCCTAGAAACATAATATGATCGTTGCCCTGGCCATGACATTAAAATTCTGCTAGGAGATTTTAATGCAAAAATCGGAAGGGAAAATATCTTTGGCCCAAACGTCGGAAAATTCAGACTGCATGAAGAAACATCAGACAACGGCATCAAAAAACATGGTAGTTAGGAAGGCCACTTGGATTTCTCCCGATCGAACAACGAGAAATCAAATCGATCATGTTGTGATAGACGAAAGGCATTCATACAGTGTTTTCGACGTCCGATCGATCCGGGGAGCGAATATCGATTCGGACCATTACCTTATGGCAGCCAAGGTACGCCCCCTGTCTTAATGTAGCAGCAATGGTGCGATCTAAAGTAACACGGAAATTTGACGTCGAAAAGCTGCAAACACAACAGATAGCAGAAGCATACTCCACTCAACTTACCCAACCGCTTGACGAAAGCACCCCTTGTCCCGATAATAATATAGAAGCACAATGGCAGAGAATTGCCCACTCCATACAAACTGCAGCAAAAGCAACACTTGGGTACCAAAGACCACGATTAAGAGGATAAACGTATTTTCAGAAAAATGAAGAAAGACCAAAAAAAAAAGAACGTGATGTACAGGAGTCAGAATGGAAAAAGTCCGAAAATTCTATCAACGTGTAACCACCAAACTGAAGGCTTTGGTGCAGGCACATCCTCCTGTAGAGATGAAGAAGGAAACATGGTGACAGATACTGACAACGTGCTGAGGATCTGGAAGGAGCATTTTGAAAAACTTCTGGTACCAAATAGTAGCAGTGAAGTGGATACCCCTGAACCAATAATAGATGATGGTATAGAGTGCATACCACCTAGCCAAGATGAAGTCAGAATATCAATCAATCGGCAGAAGAATAATAAAGCAGCAGGAGCCGATGGGTTACAAGAAGTCAGAATATCAATCAATCGGCTGAAGAATAATAAAGCAGCAGGAGCCGATGGGTTACAAGCCGAACTATAGAGGAATAAGTCTTCTTCCCATCGCATATAAAGTACTATCCAGCGTACTATGTGAACGACTGAAGCCAATGGTCAATGACATTATTGTACATTGCACATTGCAAAATTAATTCGGCTATGCAGGATAACTTTAACAGGCACAATATCAGCAGTTGAAGTCGGAAAGGACATCTCTGTACCCTTTAATACCGAACGAGGATTCAGACAAGGTGATAGTTTGTCTGAATCCGAGTGGCAAAAGTGAACAGAAATGACACTCTGTACACCAAACAACACATGTTACTCGCCTACGCCGACGACATCGGCATAATGGGTCGAACATTGAGAGCGGTAACAGCCACCTTTGAACAAATTGAGATGGAGTCTGCCAAAGTGGGTCTGTCAGTAAACAGCTTCAAGGTAGTCAAAGATTTTGTATACCTTGGTACCGCCATATATAATACGAATGACATCTGTTTGGAAATTCGGAGAAGGTTAGTGATGGCCCAGCCCAGAAGACATATAAAAAAGAAACAGCTGATGGTTCACGAAGAAGGGGAATGCCAAGAACACGTTGGCAAGATCAAGTCGAAGATTTTTTCAAAGAATATTTTTTCGAGACTAATAAAGGCGTGAGTTTTTCAAAGAATATTTTTTTCGGGGAATTAAAAAGTATGCATTTTTTCAAGAATATTTTTGAGGACTAACAAAGGATTTGTTAAGAAAAATTTTCGATGCCTACCAAAGGCGAGATTTTTTAAGGGATCGTTTTTCAAAGACTATTAAAGGCGTGAATTTTTTAAGCATATTGTTTTGAGGTCAATCATTTCTTTGAGAATTTAAATAGGATTTTTTAAACAAAATTTTTGAAATCTACCAACGGCGTGGAGTTTTAAAGGATATTTTTTCGAAGACTGCTAAAGGCTTGGATTTTTTAAGCATATTTTTTCGAGGTTAACCAAACGCTTTTTATTTTATTTTTTCGAAGTCAACCAATGGCGTGGGCTTTTAAAGCATAATTTTCGACGTCAGTAAAGGCTTGAATTTTTAAAGGATATGTTTTCGATGCCAAGGGTTGGATTTTTAAAGGATATGTTTTCGAGGTCAATCAAATGTGTGGATTTTTTAAAAACTATTTTTTTGAATGTCCCGTAAATTTACATGCCGGGTACTTGAATGATGAACAAACTGTTTTCAAATGACATGTATCCATGTTTGGCATAGCCCTTAAAATTCGATGGTTTTAACTGAATTTTCCAGTCGAAGTGTCTGTAATTTGGACTACAACGTTATTGGATAGTTATAAACATCTGTGTAGAACATTTTTGGTACAGCCGCCACATAAATCCGGTCAATTTTCGGTATATTAAAGATACTGGCCGCCATCGACGTGGCGATAATTTGAGTTTGGAGTTCTTGGCCAAGTGGCATTCCGTGCTCTTGGAGGGTGAAAAGTATATTTGCAGAAATTTTCCAGATATGTACATGTTTTGACCAACCCTCCATATCCGGTATTTTTAAAGTTTTATTCAATTTTTCTACGACTAAATTGAAATTCCAGATTCCTGGGAAATAAAATATTATTTCAATGTATTTAATCAAAATCAAACTTCTATATCATGTTTTCATTTACTCTACAAACATTTTGAAGTTAAATATGAAATATGCTTATGCCACTTGATTCAACTGTTGCACCACTTGAGGAACAAGTAGTCATTTCAATTGATTTAATAATGTGTAATTCGTAGATCTTATTATCTATGCATGTCACTACCTCAGTTTTTATATTATTTTAAGCGCTTCGAGTGTTTCGATAATTGAACTCGTTTAAGTGCACTTTAACGATTAAGTGCATGGGAATCATCGTCATGCATTTGAAGCGTAAAATTAAGTCATCGCATAACATTACCCTTATTAACCAATCGATGGGTATAGTACAACACCAACAACAATTCTGTCACAATAATTGGAGTAAATGTCTTAAACTCTGACACCTGAATTGTGAACTGAACTATTACGAAGATGTACACTGAAAAATGTGTACTGTCATCAATTCAGTTCAGTTACAGTACAAAACGCATTTGACACTCTGATCATTGATCACCATATCGAGTTACACGAAATGGCATTCAAGGTGGGTAAACACGAACAGACGTAAGCTCGCACTGGATTTAATGTGGCTATGTAGAGGCTAAAAAGGATTAAAATTAACTCTCGCGGATAATTTGTAGTTGTCAGCTTTATTTGTGCACCTCATTTGATATTTTTGCAGTTCGTTGTTATTTTTGCTTTGTTGGCCGCTGTCAATGCTGGCTTTGTACCTGCAGCTCCCCAGGTATATCATGCCGCTCCCGTTGCTGCTGCTGCCACTGTGGTCAAGGGTGTTGTTCCAGTTGCCCAACCGGTTTTAACCAAGACCGTTGAAGAATATGATCCTCATCCTCAGTACAAATTCGGCTATGGTGTCCAAGATGCTGTGTCAGGTGATACTAAAACACAAGTTGAAGAACGCGATGGTGATGTGGTACGTGGTGAATACACCTTGATTGATGCTGACGGTTACAAGCGTACCGTTCAGTATACTGCTGATCCTGTTCATGGTTTCAATGCTGTTGTTAGCCGTGAACCATTGGTTGGAAAGGCTGTTGTTGCCGCTCCTGCCCCTGTCGTGAAGACGGTTGCTCCTGTTGCTCAGTATGCTGCCCCTGCCTCTGTAGTGAAGACTGTTGCTCCTGTGTCACAGTATGCTGCTCCCGCCGCTGTCGTCAAAACTGCTGTTCCAGCCTATACCACCTACACAGCTCCAGCTGTCGTAAAATCTGCTGTCCCAGCCTATACTACATACACCGTACCTGCCTCTCATGTTGCCAATCATTAATAAGTTGTTCTAAATTTACATAGACCAATAATTTGGTAAAGAAAATAAATTATTATTTTGTTATTTTAATTGATAATGCTTTACATCGACATCTTGGAAGTATTGGAAAAGGGAACAAGGAAGAAGTCGTTAAGTTCTACCTGGGGGAACTTTTTTAATTGTTTAAATCGGCTGGGACTTTTATATAGGGGCTCTTTAATTGCATTCTTTGGTAGTAGGTTGTTTATGCTCTGAAAAAAATATTTTCCAAATTATAATCGGGTTAGAAAACTGAGGTTGGAATTCAAAATTCCGAAAATTATGTAGGAAATATGTATACAACAATATTGAATAATTTCTGGAAAGAAATATTTTATTCACTAAAATCTAATAGCAATATTGGTGAGAAAATTCTTTAAAAAACTTAAAAATATCGAAAATGGATCGGGAGCTCTATGTGGGGGGCTATATCAAAACATGGATCTATATTGTGTTTTACATTCCAATAACACATAATTCAGAATTACAGCCACTATAATGTGAATATTTGTCTACACCACTTAAATTACCAAATGCCATTCAGGTAGCTCCTTAAAAACGTCTATTGATGTCCAATCGCATGATCTTAGTGACCTGTTTATTTCGTCAAAACGAGAAATTACGGGGACATGAAATGTCTCTTGCAATAAAGCCATAAATTATAAGGGACGCGCGAACGGACACACATGTCTAGATCGACTCAGCTAGTCGATATATGACGATCGGGATACTTTAAGGTAAATCTAGAACCAATATTTCGCGACGTTACAAACACTTGGAGGGCTAACATCCCCAAAATATCGACTTTTGGGGGTACAGTTATATGAAAGCTATCCCGAAGCTTTGGTCAATAATTGCTATTTCTGAGGTTGACTACACTTTTGGAACCTACAATATTGAAAAAAAAACTACTTCGATTCAAAAAAGAGCGCAACATTTCCAAAATACCGAAATGGAGTTATATACCCCATTTGGAATACAAACCAGTAAGGAAAGTAGTAAAGTCGGGCTAGGCCGACTATATGATACCCTTCACCACTTTGGGTATATTCTACATATGAGTATTCTCATTTTTTTAATTCCATTAAAAACAATTGTTTTGATTTGATCTTTATCAATAATGAACCGACTAACATCAATCCATATACATGCTGTTCTGCAACCTATGCTAAATTTCAATTTGGGTAAATATATTCGATAATATCAATCAGACACCCGTTCGAAATATATATGGAAGCTATGTCTGCATCTGCACCCATTACCAAAAAAGCGCAATCAATCTAGTCTCAATTGAATACTTTGAGAAAAATTGCGTGTCAATTGGAGGAGTTTGGTGCACCATTTACCTAAAATCGGACGAAAATATATATGTGGCAGATATATCTAAATCTGAATTTTCAGGAAAATTAACACACATCATTCTAGACTTAAGTCTGTACGCTATGTCAAATTTCGTGCAAATCGAACGGTATATAGAGACTTTGGCTCACCATTTACCTTAAATCGGAAGAAAATATATATGGGAGCTATATCTAAATCTGAACCGATTTTCACGAAATTTAGCACACATCATTCTAGGCTTAATTTAGTACGCTATACAAATCTCGTGATTTGAGGCTTTGGTACACCTTTTACACCAAATCGGACGAGAATATGCATGTGAGCTATATCCAAATCTGAACCGATTTCCACGAAACTTCGCAGACATGACTCCAGACCAAATTCAGAACGCTTTGCCAAATTTCGAGCAAATCGAAAGATATATAGGGTCTTGGGTGTACCATTTACATTAAATCGGACGAAAATATATGTATATGGGACCGATTTTCTCGAAACTTCGCACTCATCATTCTATACTCAATTCAGAACGCCGTGCCAAATTTCGTACAAATCGAAAGATATTTGGAGACTGTAGTGCACCATTTACCTTAAATCGAGGGTAGACCCCATATAACGACTCGTCCCAAATATCCGTAACGAATAGAGTCTAGAAATATGTGTTGTTAGTTTTCCTGACATTTTCGATAGGTTCAGTGTATATTTCTATCCGAATTTACGTAAATGGTGTACTTGTTCAGTTTATCCGACATTTTCCACAGCGTATAGATCATAGGCTATATCATAGATATAGCTCTCATATATTTTTGTTCGATTTCTTCTCGTAATTCTCGCCCCAGTGCCACTGATACAACAGGTTGATCGAAGCCTGCCGTTCAGGCTTCCCCAGCAAGTGATCCAAATTAGTCACTTACACAGCGTTCTCAAGAACAGAACATCGGCCAGAGAACTTTATAGCGTATTTAGCGTAAGGTTCTTAGTTTTCACCATTATAAGTTAAAGCTGATACACCATTTAACCGAAGGACATTGCCAGTTACCTAATTATTTTTGGCAACCTCGCTATGAACCTATTGTGTGTTGCACTTTATTTTGATACGTCGGGTTCTGATTTGAAAGCAAACCTTCTAAACATCGATGATCAACGAACTTGAACTCTATTACTTGACTACTGAACCGAAAATAAATAAACTGCCAACAATCGGTATTATATATGATATAGGGGTATAATAAAGATGCAATTCTCCATCGCTTAACTTATTTTTAAATGATTTTCTACATTTGAAAAACCAGTAAGGAAAGTAGTAAAGTCGGACGGGGCCGACTCTAGGATACCCTTCACCACTATGGGTACATTAAACAGGACTATTAACATGAAATTGGATGAAATAAAATATGTGATATTTATCTAAATGTGAATCTACCTAGATTTGTCCATAAAGTGTGTAAATCGACTTCAAACAAATATAAATAGGTCATCCGGTTGACTATGTCTGTACTTCTAGAAAACGCAACTACGTAATTCTATGCTCAATTTTGTACGTTGTGCAAAATTTGATGTCAATCTGACTAACATGAGGAGTATGATGCCCAATTTGCTTGATATCGGGCGAAAAAATATATGTAAGCTATATCCACATATTAAGCGATTTGAAACAAACTTGTCACAGGTTAGGTTATACTAACTTTAGAACGTTTTGTTCCTATTGGTTCCTTGGTGCGTCAATTACATAAAATCAATCTATAATAAAATGGAGCTATATCTAAATCTGGACCGATTTTCACGAAACAAGGCAGACATCACTCTAGGCTGAATTCAGTACGTTATGCCAAATTTCGTGCAAATCGAAAGATATATAGCGACTTTGGTGAACCATTTACATGAAATCGGACGAAACTATATGTGGGAGCTATATAGAAATATGGACCGATTTTATCGAAACTTGGCAGACATCACTCTAGGCTCAATTCAGTACGTTGTGCAAAATTTCGGGCAAATCGAAAGATATATATGGATGTTGGTGCACAATTTACATGAAATCGGACGAAACTATATATGGGAGCTATATCTAAATCTGGACTGATTTTCACGAAACTTGGCAGACATAACTCTAGGCTCAATTCAGTACGTTATGCCAAATTTCGTGCAAATCGAAAGATATATATGGATTTTGGTCACAATTTACATGAAATCGGACGAAACTATATATGGTAGCTATATCTAAATCTTGACCGATTTTCACGGAGCTTGGCAGACATCATTCTAGACCTAAATGATTAGGCTGTACCAAATTTCGTGCTAATCGAAAGATATATAGGGACTTTGGGGCCCCATTTACATTAAATCGGACGAAACTATATATGTGAGCTATATCTAAATCGGGACCGATTTTCATGAAACTAGGCAGACATCATTCTAGGCCCAATTAAGTACGTTATGCCAAATTTCGTGCAAATCGAAGGATATATAGGGACTTTGGGGCACCATTTACATGAAATCGGACGAAACTATATATGGGAGCTATATCTAAATCTGGACCGATTTTCTTGAAACTGGGCAGACACCATTCTAGACTCAATTCAGTACGTTATGCCAAATTTCGTGCAAATCGAAAGATATATAGAGACTTTGGGGCACCATTTACATGAAATCGGACGAAACTATATATGGGAGCTATATCTAAATCTGGACCGATTTTCACGAAACTTGGCAGACATCACTCTAGGCTTAATTCAGTACGTTATGCCAAATTTCGTGCAAATCAAAAGATATATAGGGACTTTGGGGCACCATTTACATGAAATCGGACGAAACTATATATGGGAGCTATATCTAAATCTGGACCGATTTTCACGAAACTTGGCAGACATCATTCTAGACCTAAATGATTAGGCTGTACTAAATTTCGTGCAAATCGAAAGTTATATAGGGACTGTTTACATTAAATCGGTTAAATATATATATGGGAGCTATATCTAAATCTGAACCGATTTTTCCCAATTTCAATAGGGTTCGTCCTTGGGCCATATAAGTGACCTATGCCAAATTTCATCCAATTCGGATCATAAATGCGACCTGTACTTTGTTTACAATTTAACATGGACAGACGGACGGACGGACGGACAGACGGACATGCGTAAATCGACTCAGAAAGTGATTCTATGCATATTCTCAAAAGGAACCATGGGTCTATCTCGATTATTTTTGCCTGTTACAAACATATGCACAAAGACATAATACCCTGTACCACGTAGATTGTATATGTTCTACATTAGAATAAAAAACCAAAATCTATAAATATTTTTAATGTTAAGAACAGTTCAGTATAGGAATTGAAAATAATAATTGATTTTGTAACTTTTACTTTTCTGACCAATACAAATGGTGGTATATGCTCAATTTTCATGGTTTATGCTTTGAACATTAGAAACAAAATTCATTCACAATTGTATACTGACAAATTGACGTTCAAGTTTTATTAAATCAAACATAATAATGGAAACACATTATGATCGCAAAAGCAAACAAATGTCAAGAATAACAATATAAAAAAATGACGAAATTCATTTAACTATTTTAGCCATTTAGAAATAGCAGCAACAAATCTATCGATCGATCCATTGATCGACCAACCACCCACAACT